GAACATAAAACTTTGTTTATTTACCTTTTACTGATTTAATACTTTTTGTAATTGGTTAATGGTTGTTTGTAAATCTATTAAATTATATGCGTGACTTAATTAAAATAAGCCCGATTCTGAATGATGAAAAATATGCTCGATACATTGGTTTTACGTTTAGAAGATATTAACTATATATATGTATATTTCATTGTTAATGAAAATGTGTTGTATTTAAAGCAATAGTATCAATAAGTTTGTAGACATCAATGCCAGGGGTGAACTTGATAATTCCAAATAAATTGATGAATGAGTATAAAGTTAATAATAAATATGCCCTTTGCTATATTCCAATGAATAGAAAAAATTGTATTTATGACGTTTCATGACTCAATGTAAGCCATTTCCTACTCTGAGGAAGTGGCTTACAATGAGTTACAAAGCGTTATAAGTAGAATTTTTCTACTCCTTAGGATATAACAAAAACCCTATATATTATTAGTATTCATAATCTTCGATTCACTAATGAATACATGAATCTATTTTATTCTTGATTTCGTCATTCTTTATATGATTTTTGATCAGTAGAATAATCTTCGATGAGTTGTATATCTTCTTCAGCTTATTAAAAAGAACTGGATATGTTATGATTTATTATTATTGACAACAACAGTCAAAAACTGAAATATAAAAATCTCAAACTCAAGTTGAACACGATTATAGTAAATAAATCGATGATTGTATGCATGAGTACTTGGTTGTGAAACAGATATGGTTACAGGTTTTAAAGATGTTTTATTAAATTCTGTATCATTTGAGAAATATCATAATCTTAGATTTGAAAAAAATTGAGGTAATATATTTATTTCATTGTTTAGTATCTTTATTCTCATGATTATAATTTTGTTATGCAAATATAATTAAAAGAAACTGATTAAAATATTATATGTAGAACTCTGAAATTGTTGTTAACAACCACTTGGTGATAAACGTTTAGAAACTTGCTTTGATTGAATCTTGTATCTTTTATATAAATATAAAGACAATTTACAGTTTAAACGTGGTTTTTCCTGATTTTTTCGACCTTAAAATCTTAATGGTACACGACCAGTCGATTTTAGTGGTTGGACATCGTATGTTTGTTAGTAAGTTACTAAATGAGCGTCATGAATATATCATGTAATCGAGTAATATTGGATACTAAAAATTATAAAATAGACATCTTTTTATTGTAATAACATTCATTTATTTAGCTTCATGTACTGATCAATGTATGTACTCAAAAAGTACTCTGACATAACAGAATAGACAACTGTTGTCTCAGATCATTCAATATTGCTTTGTTTGAATGTCATTACAAACAATTGCTTCTGTTAACTAATAATTTTAGGCTTAAAATGACCTACGGTGATATTTTTCATTTCAGTTTTTAGATTATTTGCATAGTATAACTATCCGTAAAACTAGTGATCTGTTCTGAAAGAAGTCAAGAATTAAACTATGAAAACCCATTACGTAAAACCACCTCAGACAGTTTAATCGTCATTTGATGATTTTTACAGTTTATAGTTACATAAAGACATATCAAAAAGAACACTTTTATGATGAAATAGTTTTCCATACTAATGTTTTAATAACTGATTACATTTTTGGTTACATTATGCTATGCACAAAACCATTTGATAAAGATTTGTTAAGACGTCTACTTTAGTGGAATAAAAAGGAAGTTTTCGATAATTTCATTGATTTTATATTGATGAATGTATTCCTGCAAATTATTAGGAACATTTTTATAAGAAAAAAATTATGATAACCCTTTCACCATTAAATTAACTTATCTGCCTCATTTACTAATCTAATAACAGAGAGGGTTTTTGTGGATATTATAGTAATTTAATAGTTTAGATCATGAGTCGATTGAAACTAGACCACCATAGAAAATCTTGAACCACTGGACGGCCGTTTCGTCTCAGTATGGGACACCTCAACAATACTCATCCACGATCCCGCCTAACGAGATTCGAATCCAGAACCTATCAGCCTCACGCGCAAGGGCTGTAGTGGCTGTGCTTCGATAATTAATCACCCTCTTACTGTAAACATATAATCTTCAACAGTGTTTGAAATCAGAAGGTAAAAAGAAGCAGCTACTAAAGTTTATTTAGCAGATAATTCGGACCAAACAGCAGAGAGGCAAAACGAATGAGTAAGCGAACTATGATTGTAGCAGTAGCAGTAGTAGAAAGAGTAGTGAGAGGTAGTGGGTGTATATATATATATATATATATATATATATATATATATATATATATATATATATATATATATATATAGGGAAGTGGATGAGTCCGTGAATAGATTAAGCACTTAATAATAAAGTTGGCAGAATGAATATATGCGTAGGCGCTAAACAATGTTCAAGCATACGTATTTCATACAAGCACAATAATAATAAGGATACAATAAATTGTTATAGTGCGGATGACTTTGTCCGCTAAATAAGTTAGCAAAAGGGCTTAGCTGAATTAAATGAGAATAAACTCAATTGCACGTGAGTCGCTATAGGACCTAATCACTAAATTAAATCTAATAAAAGTTTAACTAAAAAATTATGAATGTAATGAACATTTAAAAATTGTCTAGCTGATTAATGATCTTAAATTACTACGGAAATAACTGAAATTTGTTTCTTGTTCTTATGAGTTTATCTGAAAGAAAACTGTTAAAGAAAGTAATGTCAATTGTATTTCATTGTTTATTTCACCTTAATTTAGTAATATTTCGACTAATATTTATAAACATTATAGACTGATAATTTTAAGCTCAGTTCTGTTAAACATTTTTAGATAAAAGTTATTTGATTTCTTTAAAATATACTTCAATGGTTTGTATATTAATTGAAAAATATATCATTTTTAAACTTTAAGCTTGTTCATCCGCATACAAATGGTACTGAGGACGAGTTGACTGGAACATTTTAATTCAGTGTACGAATGTATTTGAATTGTAGCGACATTTTCCTAACCGATTCTCAGTAAAGTGTATTATGAAGCTTGCGACAAAAGAAACCGATTATTTACCCCGTATAAAATCAGAACATTCGTTTTAAGTTTGGTTTCGAAACATCAAAAACGGTTTGAAAAATATAATACAGTGATGTTACAGAACATCAAATGCAACGTTCAGTTTAGATACATGACATCCTTAGAAATGTATATTCAATTACGTCTTTTAGGAGGTGATGGATAGTTCGCACCCTCTTAGGGAACGGGACAACTTCAAAACAATTATCATAAGCTGTAAATATTCTCCATTACCCTAGTTATTTCTAAATAATCTTTGATGATAATTGGCCATTTAACATTTGCGTTCATTGTTTTTGTCTTGTATGGTAATTTTGTCAGAGTAAAAATCACCATGTTCATTTAACATAATGATTTTGTCAAATCTACAATGTTTCTAGTCCATTGCAAATTTATATACATATGTTTCTGTCAATATATTTCTTTTTCCAAAACATACGGTTCAACATGACGACTATATGTAGTGTCCTCAAAATATTAGGTCAAATAACCAAAGAATATTCGAAGGTTTGTATTGCACGATCATTAGTTACCTAACTGATTTTTTTTTTCATTTTGATATTATAAACATTCTTTACTTTTTTCTTTATGTAAAACAAGAGAATTCTGTTGTTTTAACAACATCTTACAATCTTTTGTATATTCTCAATCTATCTAATCCATTTTCATTTGAAAACGGTTTCAGTGAAAATAAGGACATCATAAAAAAATAAACTATAAATTGCTTTCTTATATTATATTAGTTTAGAACAAAAAATTTTATTTGTCAATAGTACTCTGTCCTCTTTGAATCTTTTGTCATCCATACATATAAAACAAGAAAGAAAATCTATCATCATAAAAAACGATGACAATGACAATATATTCAAACTAAACGAATGTTTTATTTGACAGATAACATTAATCTATTTACAAAAAATAGTATCATTTTAACAAACTAAACATTTAATAAGTAACTTCCAATGCTTTATGTATTATACCAAAATCAACTTTAAATAATATGAAAGGTATTCAATGATTATTATACTGATGTCATAAGAATTAGATGATTGTTCACTATTGAATTAAATTATTTATACTTCATAAATCGATTGTTGAATAGATGACATTATAACTCAATTAATACTATTCATTAAATTCACTTGGTGTTATTTTACTTGTATCTTCCCATTATTATTTAGGACTGCAATTGATCAGTGTCATGTTGGCATATGTGTATCCTGTACGGATTGCCTCGATATAGTCTTAAGTCACAAGCTTTTTTTAAGCAAAGAAACGCGCGTCCTGGATTCCACTGCTAACCACTATCCACCTGTTTTTTTTTTAAATTACTATCCACTAGTTTATTATTCTGTAATAATCGATTCAGTAATTATTCACTTCAAAATACTTAATTATCTAGTTTAAAAGAAGAAGAAGAAGAAAGAATAAAAAAAGAACAAAACCACAAAAGTTTCCGTTCGTTCGTTCGTTCATTTTTTTTTTTTTTTCTTTACTCTTATCAAAAGGTTTAATGGAATAATATGATTGGTTAGAATAGTGATAGTAACAATTTGATTGGTTAAAAGTGGGTGTTTTTTTTACTTACATTTTTTATCGATTGCTCGCTTATTTAAAATATAATAATCATCATCATAAGATTGTCCTATATAATAATTATGATTAAAAATATGAATTAAACCCTTTTCAAGGATTCATATTATTTAATTAAATCATAAAATTATTATTATTATTATTAGGTTATAAATATGTATTACAAAATTAAAGAGAACGGAAATGAATTTTCGGTAAATTATTTACATGTTAACTAATGATAATGTAAAGTTGTATATTAATTACCCTTGAATACATAAATTTGTCTATGACCAATCATAATAAAGTAAAATGAAAATGAATTTCAATTACACATAAAAATATAATCTGCATTTATAATGGATTAATAATAAATAAATAAATAAATAATGTTATATTAAGATTATTATGATTATGATTATTGACATATGATGATTGTCCTTATTAAAATTTATTCTATAATTTTCTCATATGGAATTAATCTATCTATATGATAGTTGATTAACTTAATTGTGGAAAATACTTATAGTGTAACTTCTTTCTTAATTTATGTTATTATTATTTTTCTTCAAAAAAATTTTTATTAATTTTTTTTTTATCAGAAACATAAAATCAATCAAACTTTATTGATTTAATTGACAAATAATTTAATAAATCTTGATCTAGATCAATTTAAATAGATCACAATATCCGATAATGGCAAATTCATCTAATATCACAAATAATAATGATGTTGAAGATTTGATAAATAAGGAATTAAATCAAGAAGAACAAAATATTGTAGATTATTCTGACAAGAATATTTCTATTTCAATGACAAGTGAACATGAATTAGATGAATCAAATCAACATAATAATGTAAATTTAACTGAATCATCAAGTGAATATATCATAGATAACAAAAATGATCTAATAACTGAAGTTGAAACACAAAATCTAACACAAATTGAATCCGGTGATAATTTGAAATTAGAATGTGAAGAAATGCATCCAAATGTAAATGAGAATGATGATAATGAATCACATAATACTAGTGAATTATGTGTAAACGAGAAGATAATATCTCATAATGATATTACAGAATTTCAGATAAATGACGACGAAGAAACAAAACTTAATTTGGAATCTTTAAATTCCAGTAAACAATGTGATCAAGAGTTTTACACAAGTAAATTCCTTGAACATACCTCTGTAGAAGAGTTAGAACCTACAGCTTTAATAACTGACTACAGTGATCCCACTGAAAAATATATAGAAGAAAATCATCCTCCTAGTGATAAATCAGAGACATATTCCAATATTATAGACGACCAAGAAGGTGAAAGTAACATAAATGCTGCAAAGTTAGAGTTTTCGGATATAAGAGAAAGTAAAGACATGATTAATGTACATAGTCCTTTAGAAGTAACAAGTTTATCAAGTTTGAAAAACGATGAAATAGACAGGAATAAATGTGAAACAGTACTCGAAGAGTCATTTGATCATTTTACTGAAGAAAACGTTATACCTCAACATCATGAGAACGTACACTTGACTGAGGAAAATGAAAAATCCGAACAGTTACTTGGGAGAATCACACTACAAGAAGTAATGAGTCTAACTGAACCAGGTGAACACCTTCCCACTGATAAAAATGATATACCGTTTGACTTTATTGCACATGATGTAAAAGATGAAGTAGATGAAAATCTCAGTAGAAGTAGTATAGGTAGTGTTGAAGACATTATTCAAACACCTCATGAGAAAATCGAAACAAAATCTGATTACAACATATCTACATCAATTGATCAACCAAATAATGGAAGTGACGAACAGTCAGACACTCAAGTAGATCATAATAAAGAGGAAATATGCAATGTACCATCTGAATCCCATACCGAGGATTGTATTCCATTTGCAGACTACTCAAAAGAAGTCGAATTTCCTGTAGTAGAAGAACAGATAACTACAGAATTTGAATCCCATCATGTAGAAATAGAAAACATTGATATCATAAATACACCTTCCCCTAGTTTGAATCATACGACAGAACAACAAAATTTCAGAGCTGATATCATTACAGATTACCTTAATAAAGATGATTATGACGATGACAAAACCAAACTGTATACTGAAGATCAAGGTAATGTTGGAAAACAAGACCGCTTACAGTGTTCAATGAATAGTGACTCATCAAATCTTCAACAAACTAACTCTCCATCAATAAATGACGTAAAAAATACTGAAATCGATGAGATAAAAAACCGAACTTCTGATAAAGACATATGTGAAGAAAATGGCCTGGAAAGTGGTTCATTATTGTACGCTACACAAAATCTTATCAATGAGTTACAGACAGTTGAGCACTTAACAGATGACGGACCGGAACCGTTGAATATCGCTGTAGATATTCAAGGTGATGAATTATATAACGCTAAAATACATAAAAGGTCAACATTGGAACATTACGTAACAGAGCAACATTCCAATGGTGATGATAAACGTAGTATCAGTAATTATAAAGTAGAAAACATTTCACCCAAATATTTTGAAGAACATCAATCATTAAGGAATGAAAGTAATGAAAAAGAATCAACTCCGGAAAAGTTAAACAACCAACTGAAATCCAAACCTTTAAATGATGTAAATAAAAATACAGCACTTAGGAGGATAAGCAATGATGTTGATGAGATAAGCCTGAATTCAGAAGGTGAACAGAGAACCGAGTTTGAACAACGCTATGCAGAATTAATTGCAAAGTATCTACCAGTTGAGAGACAATCAAAAAAGAATGATAGATCAAGACGAACTAAAACACTAGACAGATATAGTAAATCCAAATTTAATGAGAATAGATACTCATATATAGATACAAGTGATGTTAAAAAAAGATCAGTAACCCTGGAACGCAATGAATTTAGACGTAAACGACGCCTGCAACCAAAACCATCTGTTAATGATGATTACTTGTATCCAGATTCAGTAACACCATCTAAGGTAGACAAAAGTATAAGTGTACGAAGTTTAGAGGAGGGTATTCCAGAAGGTGCTTACGATGTACCATATATTGATGATGACGCTTTCTTGCCACGAAGATTACGTGAAAATAAAGGTGAAGATAATGGATCAGATGAAGGTAGTAGTCTGAGTCTGGAGGAAGATTATTGCTCATGGAATCCTGACAGATTTAGTAGACTAGAAGCTAATCATATAGCTGATACTAACGAATGTGCTCCCACTCCAGGTTAGTTGTTTAACAAAAGTGTTCTTTTATAAAAGTTAGCTATAGTTTGTATAAACTGGATGTTTATAATTATTTTTTTACCTTTTACGATGCATTAAAATAGGGCGTAACATTTTGCTCTAACTCAAATCTAGGTGAGAATGATTAAAAAACGAAAGCGTCATCTACCTGTCTAATTAGTGTTTTGGTAAGGTTAACTATTTATTAGGAATTTCTAAGCTAGTATATCTGATCTAATACACATATGAGAACGTAAAACTGATAACTTGCAGCTGATCTAAATCACAGTTAATACACAACGTTTTGCCCTGATATCAATGGATGTAGATCAGTAAATTATGAGAATAAATGATAAGGGTTAAAGTGTATGCTTTGTTCTAAATATCATCGTAATTTATCTCCACAAAATGAAAGCAATAAACACACATCTAAAAATGCAACATATGTACATTTACGCAGATAAAATAGCTGATAGTACCCATTCAGGCTAACTAAAATCGTTTAATTAGTGATTTACTTCGATAGAGATTACTAAAGTTCTTATGTGAAGCTATAATTGATGAATTTCAATCATTCAATGAATCAGAGAGGTTTCGCCAGTAACAATAGATGAATTTCATGTAATATAAAGAATTAACTGAAGTTAGAGTTGAAAGCCATTGAAACCCACCTCATTGACAAAATTAAATTTCCTACTTGAAAATTTTAATGGTTATTGATTCAGGGCTTGATAGCATTGTAATTAAGTACTTCTGAAGATTTCCACGCTGAGATAAAAATAAGTATTTAGTTCACTGTGGTTTTCAGTGGTTACCTAGTCTAAGTCAACCCACAACGTAAACTGAAATAAATGCATAAATCAGTATTTTTTTATTATTACGACGTTACAACTGATACAAAATCAATGTAAACTTTTTGTAACGAATTAATTTCGGAAACACTTGTGTTGCAATCAAATGATGTGATTATACAAATACTGAATTCGATTTTATAATCAATATCAGCTCTATAGATAATACTACCAGGTTTTGATTGCTCATAGCAATTCTAGTAATATAAGATCGACTGTTTTTCCATTATTTCAATTCACCAAAAGGAAATTTAACGATTAATTATGTGGACTAGTTGAAGTTAGACATTAACATCGTTGGGTGCCTGCTCAGTGGTCAAGGGGTAAAGCGTTCACGCGCGAGGTAGATAGATCCCGGGTTCGCATCTCGCGAAGCGGGATGGTGGAGGAATCCCACAATAAAACGAAACGACCGTCCAGTGCTTCTTGGTTTTCCATGGTGGTCTAGCTTTAATTGACTCATGATCTCAACTATTAAACTACTATAATATCCACAAAAACACTTTTCTAAAAATTGTTTGTAAATATACACATGAAGAACAGACACTAAACGATGAAATTTTAAAACCTGTCAACATAAGACATATTACAAATCAGATTTGTATTTTTCACTAACATCTAATGTTAGACAATTTTAAAATAGTGCAAAAACATTAGTAAACTTGAAATACGCTTGTAGAACTAACTACTACTTGCCATAAAAAATACCTGGATTTAGCCTTAATACGACTACTAACAAGAATATAGTAAGAGATTTCACTACAGTAAAACTCTTCATCTTTATTTTTCTATCTAATTACACTTCAAAAGTATATTAGACTATTAAAATAAACTAATCATTTGAGTTATTAAAAGATATCGAAAGCAGAAAAAAACAAGATATAAATAATATTCAATTGAACTATTTAAGATATATTTGTTTTTAATAGCAATTAAATACAAAACTGATTTCTATTCATTCTATCTAAACGTTAAACAGTTGTCTAGATTTTATTATACAAGCGGTATAAAACTATTTAATCTGACACTCAGTTTGTTGTCAGCTTGACACCCGAAATGGTAACTATTTTTTTTTTATTCGTAGTAAACTGGAAATATTCAAGTGCTACAATTAAGTAAAATTTAATTTATTTGCTTAAAAGGAGTAATGAAGGTATTTATATATCCAGAAAATGCTTGTTTGGTAAACCTACGATATTAAAGGATTAGGTTAATCGCCTATGAATTAATTCACCAAAACTGACCCAAGTATTTGTCATAAAATGCAATATGATCAAATGTTTATCACAGAAATAATATGTTTAGTTATATTTACATTTTACTTATTATATTTCGAAGTATTGCACTTATGAACAATTAATCCATTAAATTCGTCTTACCTAGTTACTTGTATCACAAAATATGTGTATTTTATAACGTGTTACACAAATCTTCATTCTTGTTTTAATTCATTTTATATTGCTTGTTTGAGCCTTCCCATTGATATTTAGGACTGCAATTAATCAGTCTCTAATTGGCGTATGTGCATCCTGTACGGATCGCCTCGATATTGTATTAAGTCACAAGTAATAAAAGAACAGATGGATAGTGGTTAATAGTGGAACTCAGTGGCTAAGTGGATAACGTGATAACCTTTGGAGCGAACGTTACTGGGTTCGAGTCCCGGAATGTACATCAACTCTGGGATGCAGGTACATCCAGCCAACGTAACCTAATTAGGATGAAACGCTCGTCTTGTATTCCAATGCTAGCCAACATCCACCTTTGTTCATGATGCATTCTTGTTTATTTAGTTCCTTCTATTGTTTTTAATTCCAATAACATAATAATGTTTTAAGGTATACATTATAAATATCATTTTAATAATGTAGATACATTTCGGACCATTATAAACTAAATAAAATTTTGTTTTCCTTGGTTTTATGTTGTGCTTCATTTAATACTATTCTCTGATTCATGACAATAAGGTTCACTGTCAATCCCAAAACATCCAGGTTATTACCCGATAAGTCGAATATTGTATTGTTGGTGCATTTCCTAACAAAATGTACTCAGTATGTGTGAAACTATTTTCATGAAGTGGGTTTTTCAACTGTCCAATGAAAAAATTACAGGTTGTTGCCATAAATTAATTTTTAATTATTCATATAGCCTAAAAGATCAATAATTTATTCACTATTCGTTCGTATGTAACAAGAATTTGGCCTTACTTAGGAATTCTCTAATTAAATTTTGGCAATCATAAGGAAAATAAAAGGAAATGATAAATTTTGTTTCTTTAGATCATATTACAAAATCACTCAGGTTTCGAAGTAGTGGTTCACTGGTTTTGTTGTAAAATTTAGAAAGTCGTAACCACTATCATTTGTCTAATGACACGATGTGAATAAGTCTGAGTCAAAAAATAGTATCTTTTAGAACTCAATTACTACGAAATACGTATTGTCCTTAAATATACTTTGCTGTGAATAAGAATGAATGAAAACCTCTTATCTTTTTCTCTCATGAGATTGAATATTCAAATGGATAACAAACACGCCTGGAATGAACAAACTGATAAAGATATCTATAAAAAGTACCTAGTTTGTGGTGTGTTTTTTTTTACTCATTTTTGTCGTTAACCAACTATTTTGCAAACAAATGTATGTATGTAAACAATCATGAAACTGTTTAGAGTTTTATAAGTAACAATAACTTAAATTTACCTGGATGAGATACTGCATTAAAAACTGTTATTTAAAGTGATATATAGATCACGAACTGAAAAAAAACTTGAAAATCATTCATTAGCTAGATACACACTAGCGTCTGATTACGCTTTTATTGACAATATATACAATAATATTTGTTACATTCATCAATCAGTCGGTCACAACGTAACACTAGGCACATATATGCATTCGAAGGGGTTTTGTGGAGATTTTAGAAATTTCACAGATTGAAATCATAAGTCAATTGAAGCTAGACCACCGTGGAAAACCTGGGAGCACTGGACGGCTGTTTCGTCCTAGTATGGGTACCGGTTCATAGGTCTAATGGCTAAGCGCTAACGTGCGAGACTGATAGGTCCTGGGTTCAAATCTCGCGGGAGGCGGGATCTTGGATGCGTATTGCTGAAGAGTCCCATACTAGGATGAAACGGCCATCCAGTGCTCCTAGGTTTTTCACGGTGGTCTAGCTTCAATTCACTCATGATTTCAATAAGTGAAATTTCTAAAATCTCCACTAAACCCCTTTTGATAATAATCATCTGCTCACTAGTGACTGACTTCAGGAAAAACTCCCGAAGTTCTAGTGATAAGCCGTTACCAGTGGAGTTCAACCAGGTCTGTTGTAAGATATCAACTCGCTGAAGAAAACGGTGTGCGGAGGCGCAACTTCGTGGATTGGTTGGATTTAGACATTAACACTGTTGGATGCCGGCTCAGTGCTCTAGTTGGTTAAGTGCCTGGCGCGAGACTGATAGGTCCTTGTATATAAGGATATAGTACATTCATCGGACAATTATGAAGATAAAGTGATTAGGCTCATTTCACGTTTCGCCGTATAGAATCGGAAAAATAATAGACATTGTTATGTATTCACTTTTGTATTGGTTGTTTGAATCTTCTCATTGATGTTAAGGACTGCAATTGATCAGTCTCTAATTGGCATATGTGTCTCTTGTGCGAATTTCCTCGATATTTGACTATTTACATAAAAACAATCAGGGTTTTACATAATGTCTGTCAAGTGCATAATTAATAAGAGTTTTACAAAGCCAATTAATCAGAGGTGCTTTTGTAAATGCTGTACGTTATCTGATTGCAGTTTCAACAATACGTTTAATTTGGATGATGTTTTATGATGCCGTTTCAGTTCAGACTTCTAATTTTGTAAATAGATATAGTGCCTCAAAATATTTAATGAACTCTTTAGAACAATAGTGATGGTTAAGACTGTTAAATGTGTTCACTTGAGAATGATTTTCATTCATGAATGTAATAAAGATAGTGATTCGATAAATAAATAATCACATATGCTCGATGTAACCAATTCAAGTCGTTTTAACCCATATCTTCCTTATCAGCCCATATTTTACTCTGAGAAATAGGATTTGTTTTTCATAGTGTCTGGTTTATCACTAACAGTTTCTACACTATATAAAACC